TATAACGAGGAGATCGCATACCAAACTGGCAACCTTCCTGTTGCTGTTATATAAGCCGTCGCAAAGCATAGGGAGTCGTTTACAAACGATCGCTGGATTTCGTCTTCCGAGTGACGCTGGAAATGTAATTAAAATAAACTAAAAGTTTACCATAAATTCACAGTTATTAGGGAATGTTTTTCTAAGAATACACCTCGCTGTAAACCGCCAGTCGACAATGAAATACATTAGTTAACTCCTATTCTTGTTTGGAATAAATACATACAGTAAAAGGGAGGATACTTGATACGTTATTAAATAAAACCTTTGCTTTGCGAGATTTGAACGTCTAAAGATAACACGTCTCCCTATTGTTCTTAGGTTCAGAATCAAAAGAATTTCGCTTTGGTTTGGGAGTTGTATTGTTGAGGTTCTGAATATATCGGCGTTCAACAGGCCATAGAGTTGAGTTCTGTAATGTGGGCTCTTCTAACAAATTGATAGTTAAGGTGCTTGTGGTGTAGAGCAGAGGTGGCCAAGGTTTTTGGACCAGGGGGCAAAAATTTGGCCCACCTAGACTGGCGGGCCATGTGAGTATAACGTAAAAAGTTGCGTTTCGTGAACAATACAGAGTTATAAAAGCAAAAGTGGAAAACAATAAACCTCGTGACGAAACTAAATTTAATCGCAATTTCATCAAATTCTTTGAGTTATTTTCAGCTAAAACATCAAAATTTGGGCTTAGGTTGTTTCAGCAACAGATTTAATTACCCAACGAACCGGATTTGACCATGTCAGGTGTGGAGTAAGGTACTTGGAATGAATATGACTACTACGAGAGAGTTTTATTCGAAGTCGATTTAAAATTGCTTTGAACTAACAGTAAAGTCACTAGCTAATTTAACGCACTGGGGATTTTAGGTCTGTAGGTAGGAGACCTTATCCATACCTGGCTTAGTCTGGTGGCACGTTCGCCATGTGGTTAAGCCATCTTCTCATCGTCTTTTCTTTTCAAAGGATGAATTCTACCCCCATTCAACCTTACGTTGCAATATATCAGATAAACTTCTCTCTCTTGATAAATATTCAACCTCCCCGAAAGAGTTAGTTGCTAAAATAATGACAGTTCCTAAACCAAGCTTTAGACCCGTGTTTGAGAAGTGAAAACGTTATTATATTCAAGATTCCGATACTTAAGCTCACTATTCGCCTCAAAAATGCTTCCACACAAGAAAGCAACTGTACATAGCAGTTATCAAAAATTAGAATTTGTTTGCAAGTAGCTCACCTAATAACGTATTACACATTCGGCAAGTTGTAAAAATTTATTTTTTTTTGTATTGACCGGGTATCGAACCCCGTGCGACCGTCAAAAAGCACTAGAAACCTTGCCAGAACGTGCAAAACCATCACAAAGCCGTGTGTGTGGTGCGTGACCGTGACCCGTTTCATATTAAAATAGTCAGTCAGTATGTAATGCAGGGCATTGCGTTCGCGAAAGGTTTGGAATAGATCCAAATTAGATTCAAGATAGACTATAGTTTCCTGTGACTAACTCTTCATTGTTTGACATCCTGCTTTCGTATTAAGCCTACGTGACGAATGCGGGTCGCTTATCTACGAGATAACGACCTAAGTAAAAGATGGCGTAGAATGGTTACTTGCAAATAGATATAAGAGGGAAATTGGAGGGAGATATTTTATATACGGTATTAGAGTTGTAATATGCAAACTTTCTGATTGAGTCAGTTCATTTTGTATGTGTGGCTTTTAATTATAAAATTATGTGCGGTCTGAATAGTGCGCAAGATTGTGATTAACTATTAGCGATCTCAGCAGGCAGGTTATTCTTTATAATAAAAAGATTTAGTTTGACTAATTGTTTGGTTATGAGAAGGTGCTTGAAGGTTGGTATTTATGCTAAAACTTTATGGGCCCGACTACGCTGTGTCTAAAAAATATATTCCTCTTTCGCTGCAGTTGTCCCGCTGTTCTGAGTTTGAGTATATAGGGTTTCCATAATGTCTTGAAAATTTTTAAAATTGGCCATTTACTGCAAAGGCCATATACTGTTTTGGCTCTCACAGATGTATTAAATGACGTAAAAATACTTTAGCAATTACTGATTAAAATACAACAAACCTGATTAAGATATATTGAGAACTGACTTCACAACAAAATTGGAATTGTGAAGGGACTTTATATACACCTTGTATTTAGTAATGCAAATGGTTAAAGTAAGCATATGGTGTGGAAATCATCGTATGTTTTAGGTCAGGATAGATATAATACTTTGGCAAAAGGTTAGTGTATTCATATGAAGCGTGCTTCATACAATTGGGACAAGTTGGATAAGAGTGCAATACGACAATTTTGAGACATATTTCCCTGCATCGCCGCAATTACGTGCTCGTTAAATAAGGCGACTTTGTTAGCGTGTAATGAATTTTCTATCGCGTGAAACATTCACTCTATGACAACTACGAGAATCTAAAATTTTGGACTACGACCCCTCCCCTCTGCCTGCGCCACTTATCGACCCTCATGGGGCCACGGAGTAATTATTTGGGGGCCACGAGAAAAGGCCCTTCTTAGGTGCAATTTGCGATGTTTACATTAATTTAAACTAAATTCACTCTGATTTGCTTAATTCTTTGAATGCAATGCATTTATTTTTACATTTGTTTGTTAGATTTTTAATATTAAACGCGGCGAAAACTGACGGAAACGGGTTACTGACGGAAACGGGTTACTGACGGAAACGGGTTAAAAACAAAATCATATTTTTTATTGAAGAGAAGATGGCCACGGGGTTTTGAGACTCCTTAGAATAGGACCGCAAACTATAAACGTTGCAGAACCAATGGGTCAAAAAAACTGGTGGATTTCAGCCCTGAATTCTTGCCTAGAGCCTTGGTTTGAGCGTTAATATTTAGCACTTCAATAGAAAATAGCTTGATAATAGATTAGTGTATGTGCAAAACGCCGGAGCTAAAGTAAGTGCTGGGCGTAATTGTTTGAGCTTTAGGTTATCTAGCACGTAGTTTGCGGTTAGTTATCATACTATTGTCCAAAGCCTTAGTTTGAGTGGTAATGTTTAGCACTTTATAAGGAAATAGCTTGGCAATAGATATAGTATGTACGAAACGCCATAGTTATATCTAAGACCGAGGCGTAAATGTTCCGAGCATTAAGGTATCTAGCACGTAATATGCGGTTAGTTATCATACTATTCAGTAGTATAGTTTAATCACAATGTGTCTGCTTAGAATCTGTCACGTATTTGCATCACCGCAAATATTTCAGAAATCGTTCGCGGCTAAAATCTCTGTTGATTAGTATATTTACCGGTACTCACAATCTGTGCTTTAATGCGAGTGTAAATTATGTCACAATATTTTGAATTATCAAATGTTACTGCCCTCCTAAGTGTTTTAAAAGTATAACAGCCTGAAAGTTCAATACATTTGAGTATTTTTATTTATTCATTTATGTCCCAAGCCTCGTTTGACTAGGTTTGTGATCTTTATACCTTTTTCTGTGTATTTGCTGGTGAGCGGGCATATGGTATTTTTCATGTTTTAAACTTTGGTTTGCTTGGTTTCCAGAATTCTCTACTTTTAATTTGTGTGTATAATGAAGTTTTCAAAATAAACTATCTATCTATATACCTCAACCATGACATAGGTGACTGATTACAATGCTACCCACGTCTTAACTAGGTATCAAATTGCTTCCTGCTTCGTTACGATATTTGAATCAATGTTTTTGCTTCTGTTAAGACAAGGGCAAAGGCAGGCCAACATTTGGAGGGAGCATTTCTAATACGCTTGCCGCTTTTCGTTCTGAACAAGGCTAGATGCAAGCAGACATTGATATATAAAGATATCTTAAAGAAGCTATCCCCAGACTTATTTCGCGGCTGAAGTTATCCGATTTGACCCAAAGCGCAGTTTCTTGATTGGGTCGTTTGGAGGAAGTATTGATAGTAAACCAAATACGGCACGTTATCAATGAATCGCTCGCGAATAGCAAGATAGTACCAAAAAGATGTATTTTTGTGTCTCATTGCAAATGCCGCAGAATCGCTTAAAAAAAATATACGTTGCAAAATTTTGTGCAATGAGGGAAGGGGGAGTAATGTGCCATGGTATATCATTTGAGCAATGAGTATAAATTGTATTACCTTTAAATGTTACTAACTTTGCTACATCATTATCACAGTGTTACCTTTGCCGCCTTTTGTCGATCTATCTATCAACAATATGGTTGAATAGCAAAGAGTGAAAATATAGTATTCAGCCTGACATATCCTTATCTGTAAATCACGACCATTGTATCATAAATGAACAAAAGCATTCCAAAATTAAATTATTTATCTATTCACACAGTCTTAGAATAAAGAGATTACACTTATATAAAGATCCAGGGTGAGTGAGGTTGCCAAAAAGTTCACCCAGTAGTTCATTTTTCATATGCCGAAAGCACACATTGTCCAAACAGAATTAAGAATAATAAAAAATGCATTTCCTTGAAGGCAGACGCGATAAACCAGTTATGGTTATCGGGCAGCGTCACCTATGAGGGAGCGAATCTAACATTAAATCCTACTGAGGGGGAAAGCCAAACATAGAATACTAACAATATTTGGACTTTGAGATACATTTTAGCAAACTGATATTCCGGTGTCACTCTTGCCAATGGCAGAAAAAGACTCTAGACACGACAGGCGACCCTTTAAAATATTTTCCAGAATTTTTATGATTTGTTTATTATTATTGAATAGTTAATTTAATTTAATTAAGTTAATATAGCAATTGCACTTACCAAGATACAGTTTGGCAAAAAGTTTTTCAATTTTTAGCAAAAATGATTTCGTTTAATAGCTCTCAAGTGAATTAGTAGTTTCTTGTAGCCATCTTATCCGCATTATAGATATGAATCCGAAATATTTATATGAGCGACCCTCTGAACGATTTTCCAGAATTTATGATTAGTTTATTATTCTTGTTTATTTTAGGTTAATTTTAGTGTAAAAATGGCAGTTTTTAAGTATATATCGTTAGCATTTATGTGTGGACTTGTATTCGGAACAGGATTCACACTGATGCTTTTCTATTACCAGTCGATGACAATGCATAGTGTATGGTGAGTCGATCTTTCTTTCCATATTCAGAAATTTATGAATTTTATCGGGTACTCCCGTAGTATGTATACCAGGTTAGGGTTAGGTCATAATTTTATTCCGATTTTCCTTATTTCATTTCTATTACGAGTTCGGGGACTGTCTGTGTTAGCCAAGTGACTATACCCCCTGCCCATAGGTTTCAGTCTCTTTACACAAGTTGATATAAAGTAGGCGAACAAATTAGTTTCCTCCATATGGGTACACCTACTTCAGGAGCGCATTTTATCGTACAATTCTTGTCCGCCACTGCACAGGGGGGGAATGATGAGTTACCAACTAATTTACACACATAATCAAGAACTGATTTCCAAAAATGTTTTGTGCCGACCCTCGCTCGGAATTAAGATATATGGTTACTTACTTGTCTAAAATAGTATCGATAGAGGCTGCTTTTAATTTTGCTAAACCAAGGGTGTGCAACATTTATTTGGTTGGCCATATAACTAACTTTAGACATCTAGCTGTGCCACAAAAAAAGAAGAGAATGCGAATATCGCTTAGCTTTACAGTAATGAAGACACCAGACAAATCGATGACACTTTAACGCAGCGAAGAGAGCAAAAAAACATTATGTATTTTTACCCATGTAAACGCCCTTTCAAACTTTAACTGTCAGATTAGAATTTTATGCTTGATGGGGTAGAATCTGAGTGTTGAAAAGGGCCACGCTGAATGGTTTAGCGGGCCGGATTGTAGCTCGCGGGCCGTCTGTTATACTCCCCTGTGCTAAAGTAAACTCAAAAGTATAAGACATCCCTACACTGCAGCAGATCAAAACCTTATTCCACATATTGGTAACTTTTCCAATACACGGGCGTAAACAAATAAAATAAGTCCCAGATAGTGACAATTCTTGATAACAATACATTTTCTCTGAGCTTCTATCTTATGTTAACATTGGAATCAAAAATATATTGCCGAAATTGACAAGAGAAAATATAATATATTGCATGCTTTTTGATTACTATCGCTACAACAATTTGACCAGACCAGCAGAATTTTCTACTGACTTTATCACGCCATACTTCTCAATCAGTAACTTATGGTTAAATATTTTCGTACTTTTCGCTTATTTAGTATGGGGGTCAAAATCCCCCTCTTTTTGTTAAATGAAAAAATGCGTTCATACATAGCAATATATATAGCATATAATATATATAACGCGTTCATATATAGCACATACATAAAACGTATATCATAGCATTTTTTCATATAGCTTGAAACGCTTTTAGATCATTAAGGAACCCGCGTTTTCCGGACCCTCCAGCAGCTATACAGTCTGACTTGGCAAATAGAAATTTTTAGAACTCCCCCCCCCCCCCCATACTTTGAAATATTCGTGACTGCGCCCCTTAACAGTTTCTTTATTGTATTTTCACAGGGGCGTTGGTGTTGCGCATGAAATTGCCCGGAAAGATTATGAAGATCCAGATTCAGGGAACAAGATCGTTGTCGGGAGGAAAGATGATTATTTAGAAGAAAGTAGTGAAACAAGAACTGTGCCGCCGAAGATTATGGCTCCGGTTTATGTGGACGCGGGTAAGAACACACTGATCTTCAGTCACTCGGAGAATTATAGAGAAGAGGGAAAATATCAGTTAAATGCCCCATGTGTAATAATTTAAATATACAATTATAACTATCTATAGAGGTTACACGAGACTAACTCCCTATTCTTCCCTAACGCTTTTGTATTAGTGGACCCGTATGCGTATAATGCAAGAATGCTGAAGCAAGAATAAAACTCCATACCAAATACTTGAATTGCATAATACAAATATAAGATATGATTAATTTGAGCAATTAGTTTTTTGTAAATTCATCTTGTCTTGAAGGTATTTATAGCCTCCTTGAAAGAGAGAAATTAGTGAGTGACAACTGCACATGACTTTAAAAGTTAAGCTTTCCAAAAGTATTGTATGTTCGCTTGGTAACTCTAAAATAAACGGATACGAAAGCTAAATTGCCATATGGTAGTTTATATAGAGCAGTTGTTCTCAAACTTTTAAGCCGCGCCCCCTTTTTAGAAGTTGTCAAGTGTCGCGCCCCACCGCAAAGATAACTAGCAAACAAAAAGCTACAAATAACAGATAGTAAGGCGAAAGTAAAAAATGTAAATACAAAATAAGGCGAGAAAAATCAAATCTAATAGATATTTTTACTTTTAATTATCTTTACGCCCCGCCCCTTCTGGAGCGCGCCCTAACGTTTGAGAACCACTGATATAAAGATGCCGGAAAACAAGGGAAATCAATTGTAACAATAAAAATTCGAAACCAAGTCGTCCAAACGATCTATTTATGTCCAAACACCTTTAAATAATTTATTTTGAATGTACAGAGGACAACACGACAGCAGAACAACTTTACCAGAAAGTTCGTGTTTTGTGTTGGATTATGACGTCACCAGCAACATTGGAGAAGAAGGCAAGTCACGTGAGAGACACGTGGTCGAAGAGATGCAACATCAGATTGTTCATGAGCTCTGTGGAGGATAAGGTACATCAAGTTATATTGATATCAATAATGTGATATTCTAAGACAGAGTGGTCCAAACCCTGGCCGCATGCGGTCCGCGGACACATTCTGTGCTGTCCGCAGAACAATTTTAGCGAACATCGAGCCAAGTTAAGTCAAGTTTATTTTTGAAACCAGTAAAATATATCACTCGAGCTCAAATTACTAGAAAATCATAATTACACAGTTTTACTGGGGAAAGGAAGTCGCGGGGAACCAAAGCTGGTTATCGAGCAGCAACACCCGAGTTGGGCAGAGCAAACGAAACTTTTGTTGGGAACAACTATGGATCACTGTTCAAAAAAATATAAGATAGTACATCTAGTATCCGACATGCAGCACAAATGCATGCAGCGGAATGCATTCAATGCGAAGTGCGTATGTTATCTATATGTAATAAAATAAATGTCGTGTACTGGCACGTATTCTTTGGATACCGCAAAAAGGTGTTTGCTCAGGGCGTTACCTTTGACATTTGCGATCACTCGATCATTGAGATTTGTTTTTCAGTTCGAGTCTGTCGCTCGGAGTATTAACTCTAATAGTATAGAGTGAATGTACTGGGCCTGTCACATGAACTAATCGATGAAGCGTTAGAAAACTTTTTCCACCTTCAATTCCGCGTATCTTCAATTCATCAAAATCAAAAAGAATAATCACGTGTAGGAATTTTCTGACACCTCGTTGTTTCTATGGGCAGCCTACTAGCAGGTCGTTATGTCATTAAGAAAAAGGGGGCCTCACAAACGACATAGCCTGCCCTAGTGCCTTCCATTGTCCAAGACCGGTTCTGCCACTGGCTCTCCATTAAAGGGGGCTATTGAAACTAATCAATAAATTGATGATCGTAGTTTTAGCAGGCATAAGGGTGCTCCTGTAGTATTTGTACCAAGATGGCGCACAACCTGCTAACCCTCACTCGGTACACATACAATGTTCAGCACGTACACGTACACGTACAATGTTCGCACAACCTGAACATTGTATGTGTACCGAGTTAAGGTTAGCAGGTTGTGCGCCATCTTAGTACAAATACTACGGGAGCGCCGGCATAGGTGGGCCGGATGAAACACTTCGGTGGGCCGGATCCGGCTCGCGGGCGTTAATTTTTCCACCCCTAGCTCAGGCCGGCCCTACCAACGGCTCTCCATGAAAGAGGCGATTGAAACATAGACTGAGAGCATTTAAATATCTATCGATTCAAAATCCCAAATGTTAAACAATCTCATGTCCCTTTGGATTATTAGATGTGCCACAGTTTACTTTTTGCTACTGTCGTTGTAAATAAGTCAGAAGACTAAAAATTTTGAATTGGTTGTTATTGTACGGTAACTCCACAATTCAACACTCAAAACAGCCACAATAGAGCACAACAAAATGCAGCCTACCCCCAGCCAAACGGCCGGAGAAAGAGATATATTTTCTCTCGCACGGGTAATTGGTGGTCGAAGTCAGACTCGGTCATAAATTGTCTAAATCAAAGGTCTAGTAAATAGCATACAGAGAAGCACAAAAATGTATCAACACAATACAAATATGGACATTAGGGTTCGTGAGAAATAATAGAGTTACCGGACAATAGACTGTACCGAGGAAGACATTGAGAAAGACATTTCCTCAATTCCGCATAAACTTTTTTTTTTATTAAAAAGATGCTTTATAAAAATTAGTCAGGTAACTTGCATCACGAAGTTTTGATAATTTGCTCGCTTTCGATTTGTTAGTTCTATGACACGTGTCAGAAAAAACGGATTAATATTAATTTAACACGTCAACAATAAGTACAGGATACGTACATGTAAATACGGCTTCCTGAGTTACGTCCTGTATTAGTCATTAGCCCTAAAATGCGTTTCCTTACAATGATTTGAAGAATGATACGCAGGTTTACAATTAAAATATGAATCCTATTTAACAGCTAGATAGTAATGCTTAAATATTAGTAATGCTTTGCAATGATAAAGATAAGGGGGAATCTTTCGGGGGCCAAAGGTCGGGGAAACGTCCATCAAGAGCACAACAGTCCATAAGTCCAGTGGTGGGATTCAAATTTTTTGTCAGCCGGTACCATCACACAAATGTCATATTTTTCAGCCGGTTCTGTTACAAAAAGTCATGTTTTTTTCAGTAATGCTAACCGGTTCGCTGATCTCATAAAATTCCGTGAGACGGTCCTATATAGAACCGGTGCGAACCGTCTGAATCCCACTACTGCATAAGTCCGTTTCGTGTCCAAAAATAAAGTATTTTACTCTTTTATCGTTCAGAATTTTCCTGCAGTCGGTCTTCCTGTGAAAGAAGGTCGAGACCAATTGTACGAAAAGACGAAAGAAGCGTACAAATACGCCTGGGAACATTACAAAGATCAAGCAGACTGGTTTATGAAAGCTGACGACGATACGTACTTGGTTGTAGAAAACTTGAGGTGAGGTAAAGTTACCGTGTGGCAGATGGCGTTACGAACTTGGCGATTAGATCATACCTAATCAAGCAAGTTTGTAACGCCATCTGCCACACAAATTTATAGCTTAAGTAAAGATTTTAATAACATAATATAAACGCACGGATTGGTAAGATAAAATAAAGAACCCCAAATACGATCAGCCTCCACGGCAGTCATAGGGTAGGGATTGTGCAATCGGGTCACGTGAACAGAGGTGCTCGGAGTCGGTCAAGAATAGTGGAATCTACTCCGGTGGAGATAGAGAAGTCGCATACTTCCGTATGTACATGACGCTAAGATAATGTAAACAGATAAAATAACAAAAATGAACAAAATCTAGTCCCGTCTTACCATCATTATAAATTACTCCACTAGGTATCAGCATGGAGTAATTTTAACCCGTTTGATAAAACATGGTATGTCGTTTTGTGTTGCTTATAATATGTTTTAACTGGCATTTCTGCAGTCATAATAACATGCATGTGTCACAGAGAACAATAGACGATTCCCAACCATCCCAGGGTGCCATGAGGCAGTTTAAAAGGAAACACACCGGTAGGCGCCAAATTGATTCTGAGGCAATTTTTTTTGTTTACTTTCCCCCTCAGTTAGTCAGTAGATCCTCCTGTTTTCACCATCTGAAAAGATTATTTTCAGCCACAGGGCGGTTTCTCTTTCTTGTGTATAAATTGTTTGATCAGAATGGGATTTAGAATCCACCAATCAGAATCACAATAACTTTGACATTTTTGTCTTTGGTGTGCTCTTATTGGACACGTAGTGGACATAGCGATCGTTTCAATATTATGTTGTTGTTGTTGTTCTTAGTGTCCTTGTTCTTTGACACGTTTTGAAGAAATCGCTTTTCTCTTCGAATACTGGACCAATTGCTTTGAAATTTTCAGTGGTCGAAGATAAAATTTTTCTCCAGAAGGCTATTACTTTTTTTTCGCTATGACGTCATCAAAACTATTCCTACTCGGTGGCGCTACGTGTCCATATATTTGAGCATAGCTCTCTTGTATACCATAAACAATGCTAAATATTAGGCTTGAATACTCCGAATTTTCGGAACGGTAGGCAGGGGGGCCATGAGTGACGAAAGCCTCCGGAAAAAGACCGCGAACCACAAAAGGCTGAAAACCACTGTGATGACCCCCGTTGAAGAAAATATTACCGATTTGTGTTATGGATGTGAATATTTGAATTTTCAAAACGTTTTTTAATATTCTCGCAGATTTCTTTTGAAAGATTATGATCCGAAGAAGCCACTTTTCTTTGGTAGAAAATTCAAGCCTTTCATTAATCAAGGTTACATGAGTGGAGGTGCTGGATACGTGCTAAGTAATGATGCTGTAAGAAGGTAACCAACCTGCTTGCTTATATATCATGCCGCATAAAATATCCCCAATCGTACAAGGATATTGCACTGCGTATTGTTTCATAAAACTCAATTTTGAATTAGTACAAAATCGGTTAAATTTATAGAGATTTTGTTGTTCACCGCATCCCTTTTTTAATTATGTCGAAACAAATAGAAAATTTAAAAATTTAAGCGCGTGTTTGTCTGTGCTTACACATTCCTTTTGTTATCATGTTGTTGTCCTTGTTGGTATTTTTCTTCCTATTTTTATGAAAAAATTGCACTACTGTATCACATGTATTGAAATTTTTCAGTGGTTAAATATTGTATTTTTCGCTGAAAGGCTATTACTTTTATTTATTTCAAAACTTTCTGTGAGTTTCAAGGAATTCGTTCTTTGTGTGATGACCTCATCTGAATTAAAAATTAAGCACCTTGTGGGGTTTCGCGTTAGTGAAGAGTAGTCTGCTCTTGACAGATTGAATGCCCGTACTACTTCGTGTTTGGCTTTCGTGCCCATGTCCATATATTGGAGCATTGCTCTCTTTGTTTACTATGTCAACTAAGTACTTAACGGTTAAATTTGCTATAGTTCTATGTTAAACAAGACTACAGACATTTTGTCGAGAACCGAAAGACTTGTGGTTTCCGTATCTCGTGCAAATGGTTTATGAAAGGGAATAATTAATAGAATTCCAAAAACTATAAGACACATTCTGGATATTCATAAATCATAACAATAACTGTGCAAGTTTCTATTCTCGAATCTTCTCGGCAATAGCTTATCCCATTCACTAATTCTGAGAATTGACGCTCATTTATATATATACTCGTATACTACACCAGTGATTCCCAAGCCGCGTCCGGCGGGCTAATTATGGCCCGCGAAACGACTTAATATGACCCGTACACGTGTATATTCGTAACAAATTCAATTATACCTGTATCGGCTAGTTGTGAGCGCTCCACTCTCTTGGCCCGCGAATAATATTCCGCTATTAATTTGTCCCCCGGTCAATCAACTTTGGGAACCACTGCACTACACTGTTAATCGGTCAAAACATATCTTTAATTTTCACATTCTCTAGGAAACATCCATAAACAGCGGTTCTCAAATAGTGGGGGCGTGAATCTAATTAAAAATATTTGTCAGATTTAATCTTGCCCGCCTTATATTGAATATTTACATTTCTTATTTACATTTTTTTCTTTCTAACATAACGTACTTTCGCCTTACTAACTGTTATTTTTAGAGCTTCATGTTAGCTATAGTTATTTTTGGGGCGCGAGACTTGGCAATTTCTAAAAAAAGGGGGCGCGGCTTAAAAAATTTGATAACCACTGTCTAAAAGTGTAACACCTAAAACTCGCAGGTTTGTCGAAGGGATAGAAACTAAAAAGTGTCCAAAAGGTGGAGGGGTCGAAGATGTCGAAATGGGAAGATGTATGGAGAAAATTGGAGTGATAGCTGGGGATTCTAGGGACGCAGATCATCGAGAGACATTTCATCCTCTTGGCCCGATTCATCATCTGAAACCTGGATCAATACCTCCTGATAACTGGTTTTGGAAATATAATTATTATCCAACATGCCTGGTGAGATATTTTTGTATATTTTTCGTTTTAGTTCGGTATACCCCAATTCCAATTTTGTTAAAAATTGATATACAGACAGTTTGGTATGTGATTTTGGTCTAAGACAAAGATATAAATCTTATTTACAATACAGAATTAACGGTATTTTCATAAGTTCTTCTCTTATAATAGCGAACCACAGCCTCTCGTCCAGTCTCCAGCTCATGTTGGGATTAGTTAGCCAGTTATTTGATCTCAGATGCAGATGGTATGTCTCTGCAGATTCTCAGACTACAACACCACCTCGGTTGGTAAAGGCACCAATATGGGACTCATGGAAGGATTCCAAAGACCATATACCAGAGAATGCCGCTATCTTTTAGTTTTCCAGTAAGTCACTGGGCAGAACGGGCACAAGGGCAAATTTTTTTTTTAATTTTCGACCATGTAAACGCTTTATATACAAACCATCGGATTCGGATTTTATGCTTAGTGGGAAAAAAACTGATTGTTGACATCACACTAAATCGCTTGGCTTGCCGCGTTGTGGCCCACCGGCCACCTGTTGCTCACCCCTGCCATAAATGAATGGATGAAAAGTTAACAATAAATATATACATTGTAAACAGAATATAATGAATATATGTTGGGCATAGCACCCTACTCCAATAGGTGACATAGCCTACCCCAATTTAAAACTTTTATTTAAATTGATTTTCCACAATCTGTTTTACAGGGCCCAGAGTGCAGTTCTAATTATCCAATCACATTTCATTACGTGTCTACAGACGAGATGCATATATTTGATTTTATGATTTACAACGTTAAAATATACGGTCTAAGTTATATGTATTCAAGATATCCTAAGTTGCCATACGAAACTTGATCGTATATGGGCAACGGTTGAAGCAAGACCCGAAAGGACAATCAACATGAGAAAAATAAGTTGTTCGGCAAATAAATGAGGTCTTCGGTACTACCGTATGGTGCCTTTGGTCATGTAAAAAAAAAAAAAAACGGCATGATTAACGTAAAAAAATACTGGCATTCGAAAAGGAGGTGTTTGTAAAAGATATCTTGATAAACGATATATATATTCTACCCTCGCAGTCAGGGCTGACTCATTCCCTTTGGAGGCCCTAAGTACTTGCGATTTTGGTGACCTATATACAAAAAAAAATAATAATAAAACTGTTGAACCGAAATTGAATAAGTAAATTTTAATATTCATTACTAATTAAGGGCAAGTTACGATTACTCTGCAACATTGGTAGAGGAATTTAAGATGCTAGTCTACTTAGGAACTTTATTGAAAAATTGTCTATGGAAATTTTTGTGCCCCCCCCCCCCCCCATTGGTGCCCTAAGCACTTGCTTATTGGCTAATCCAGCGCTGCTCGCGGTTCAATACAAAACGCTTTCACTTTAACTTGTGTCAATTATGGTACTCCTTTTTTCTATCCATATTTACGTCGTCCTATATATCATCATTTTCAATCAATATTAGAAGTTTGATATTTGGAATGTGTATCAATTAAAGTTACAAGCCATTGGCTATTTCGCCCGCTTATATCCGTGTTTCCCAACCCTCAATTGAAATATGGCGTTATTTATTGGAACTTATAAATAATGTCAGATTTGAATAACCGTCTTGTTGCGACACTATCGTTGTCCAATTTTATTGATGCCTTTATTGCTTTTTTGAAAGGTTACAAAAATAGCCAATGAAAACCGTTTGGAAGCTTGTTTTTTAACAGTAACTTGAACAATATTGAATTTTTCTTCTTATAAATTTTTAAAATAAAACAGATGTTCCTAACTTTTCACTATTCGTATGTGTTATTTTTTCTTTAAAATGTTTATTTTAACATTAGAAATGAAAAATATTGTTAATTATTTTTATAAAAAGTGTTTTACTTTAGAGCTATGGTTCCCAACCTCGTATGGCCTGTGGCCCAAATCCAGAGGTTTTTAGCGCTCGTGGCCCCCTGTCCACCGTTCACAAAAGCTGGGTACTTACGTCGATTGTGTATTTACCAATGTTTTATTCCGCTTTCCATGCCAAAACAAACCAAAGGTTACAAAGTTGAGGATAATTAAAATCAATTTATCGCATAGTATTGTGAGCCCCTTACAACTGAGGTTGGGAACCAACGCTTCAGTGAATATAACAGAGTAATCGGGGTTGTGCAATTATATTATTACCTTTTTAAGCATTAGTCAAACAAATTGAAGTGAATTTCCCACAAGTGTTTTTCACCCACTGCATTGTATTCATGTAGAATTTTTGCTTTCGTCGATAAGAGAATAATTACAATCTCGTAATTTCATAAACCAGCGACCCGCGTACCAAATTCGACGTCAAGGAAAAAAGGTACTGCCCGCGGAGAAGTGCTAATTTTAAACGATGTGGTGGCCGCGAAAAGAAGTTTTAATTTATTACGTGCGAGTGATTCCAACCCCTTTGCGTTGCAAGGACTATACCGGAGTCCAATTTAATAACTATGCATATGACGTCACAATGCCTTAACAGTTAGCTTGTGTAAACAACGCATGTCACAAGTTCAATACCAAAAGTTTGTGCCTGAAACCAGTGGTGGGATTCAAATATTTTGTCAGCTGGTTCCATCACAAAAGTCATATTTTTCAGAGGTTTTTGTTACAAAAAGTCATATTTTTTTAGCAAATAAACCAGTAATGCTAACCGGTTTGCTGATCTCATAAAATTCCGTGATACGGTTCTATAGAACCGGTGCGAACCGGCTGAATCCCACCACTGCCTGCAATTACTAGATAGCCTATGGTAAATAACGGTGCGGCCAGCGGTTTCACCCAGTAATTCCTATCTGGGTTGCACACCCCGGCCATAAACAAAACATCAACCTCTGTGCGTGTAACTGAATGACCCGCTTGGTAATTTCATTTCTTTCAGTTTGAAGTGCAATTACGATACAAAACCGTTTTCATGCTTTATTTTAATATTTTTCTGATCAACTGTGCTGGAGAAGATTCGTCTATAATTAAATTGTCTCATTCCACTGTTTATACAATGTTTTGGTGCCTTTAACTGTCATTCATAATTAAGAACTTTTATTTAGCAATTAGTCAAATAAAAACAATATAACTTGTTTACGTAATTACGGTTGGGGGCAGCGCAGGATTGGAATGATGAGAGGCCTTAGGCCACGTTATTCCTTTTTAACAATGGCGTTATTTCAATTGAATTATTAAATTAAATAATTGAAATGTATTATTGTATTTTGACATGAACATATATTATAATGTGTCATGAACAAGACGAAAGAGGTAGGAATTTTCAAATCTAGACAAATTCATGTAATCGACCGTTTTCTATATTCACACGGTGAATACTTGGGACAGGAATAATAAACCCGATTAAAAAATTAACCAAGTATCAGTTTTATAAAATTTTCAAACCGGTTTTATTCTGGAACAAGCCTTTATAATTTAGAAACGACTTGAAAATAATAATAAAATGAAAATGTAATATTGAGACCTCTGAATTCAGCCTAACTCGCCTAATAATAAAGCCGCCTGTTTGGGCGGTTAGATAGATAATGATTTATTTTCTAATATCATTAAAGTACATATTGCATCAATAAAAAGGAAACATCGATTATAAACGAAAAGACGGGCAAGACTGCAAGGTTAACGAGGTAAGACTGCAAGGTTTACAATAATAAAAACAAGCTGAAGAGAAATAACAGCCTTTATCGGCTGCCTACAGATAGTTACCTAATAAATTACAACACATTACAAATATAGATTCCAAAGCATGTATAAATTGGGTATTGTTGTGTAATGTTAGATAACAGAATGTAAGAAGAAATTTATGACGTCAATATTAATCTTTCACTCTGTCGCTTGATGTCACTGTTGAGCTCTCTCTCTTTCTCCCGCGATTTCAATACCCGCTAGTTGGTCTTACTTGGCAATTAGAAATTGCCTTCCTCTTTAAATTTCCATTGGTTGTTTTCGCTAGAAGGCTATTACTTTTCCTTTATTTTGAAGTGTGTGGGCCCTATAGGATTCGTTTTCATATTGTATAATGACGTCACATTTTACATCTGCAAATGCGGATTTGAGTAGATCGTTAATACAAGGTCGTTACTCGATATCGAGCAATTTCCGAGGTTACCTCACCCAGGAGACTTCATGTGACACAAACAAAACAACAAGCTTTAGGTTGCAAGGTATTTCTTATAATTTTCCTCAGCGTCTTGTCGCCGATGCTCGTCCAGTAGCTATCGAGTTAAAATTAAAACACTCAAACATCGATGTCCACCAGAGCGCAAGACTTGATACATGCGTGATAAAAAGAACCGACATTTGGATGTAGATGGCCGAAACAATCACGAAACATACTTTAGCCTAAATACGATACTAAAAATTTAAAATGTCTTCTTATAAACTCATTTAAATAGCGGGCCGCATGAGTCCCGCGGGCCACAGGTTGGGCAGCTCTGATATAGATCGTTAATACAAGCCCGTTACTCGATAACGAGCGATATCCCAGCTTACCTTACCCAGGAGACATTATGTGACACAAACAAGACAACGATCTTCTTAGAAAAACACATTCCAGCGATGTTTAATGCATAAATAATTGACCTTGGTTTGTTAGTTGCTCCCTTTGGGATGCGATTGACTCCAATTACTGACAACAGCATGATATCAGAACCATAATGTGGCAAATCGGAAATCGCAGTTCACGACCGAAGATTTAAACTCGAATAGCAAACAGGAAGGCACTTAAAACGACCCTTTGGGGGTATGACTTTTTAATATACCATGTGATAAGCGGTGTTGGACTGTTAGTTAGATCATTCGTACGGTACTCGCCGTCAATATCAATAGTTTGAAAATTCTGAAATTCCAATTTTTTTATTATCTTATTCACCCTTAACAAAGCGTTGTACAAGCCTCGCTCTAATGCGGAAAATTACTACTTTGAAAGGTACTCCCGAAGTACGTGAACCAAGATGGCGGACACCGTAACGTAGTATGTGTACCAGGTTAGGGTTAGACCATAATTTCAGGTACAAATACTACGGAAGTCACTTGGCTAGTCCCTTGGCTAGGCCTAACCCTAACCATACCATGGTACACATACTCCGGAAGTACCCTTTGAAATGTACGAAATTTGATCACATCCATAAAATAACAAGGTTTTACATGTACATTGTACTTGATTGACGGTTCACGTCTCGTATTGCTGCCATTTAAATCAAACCTTCATTCAAATAAAACAGCACAATAGCCCTCTAGGAGAGAGAACATTCAAATAGCGATTGTGGATATATAACCATCCTAACCAATTTGCATATTGAAAATCGTATTTCTAAAACTTTAATGATTATTTAATGATCTCTCATGAGATGTATATATTTAAATGGCAATTAGAACAAAGTAGTCAACCTTATTCCGAGCTGCGCCTCGAAAGTGTTGAAACATATATATTTCAAGTCAACAAATACATATTAAATTAAGAGAACTAAAGTAGAAACCGCTACCAACCCGCAGAACGATCAATGATTATTAGAGTGATGAGTTATTCAGGGTTAAATGCATTTCGAGACTAGGACTGGGCATTTCGAATCGAATAGTGAATTATTCGAATCGGTTCAGAGCAAAATTTCGAATCGCCGCCATCTCTTTTTTTTTTTCTTTTCCCCAACTTTTTTTGTTGAAGCCATATTTTTTCAACGCAACTCTGACATATGACTCTTTTTTGTAATGATGATGAAAACGTGTTTTTTTATTGTGTGTGAACGCTCATCAATCTGTCTGAGTGATGCATTCTATGTTTTCTGTAATTTATGTGTCTGGAGGACCTTATACAATAAAAAAGTCATATACAATTTCATATCTTTCAAGTATTCGAGCTTCGATTCAAAAAAATATTCGATTCGATTCTGAAATCATCGGGTATTCAAAAATGTCCAGCCCAAGTCGACACATAATGAATGAAAATTCATAAATGCCAAATGAATAAATTAGAGCAGTAGTAAACATGAATAAAACATACCGAGATGTTATGAAATGTAATTTATTCATCAGAATTTCCTATTGTCCTATTTCTATTTAAGTCATGTTTTGTTTCGCATTAACTGTGCTTTTAATTGAATGAGTTTGAGGTTTTTGACAAAACTTATGTGACAACTTTATTGAGCATGAAGTAAGTATTTTTTTTTCCATTTTTTTCACGTTAATGAAAGAGAAAACAACCCAAAGTTTCTTTTTCTCATTGGAATTTATATATCTTTATCTTCAAATCCACGTAAAATTTCCCGACGCGACACCTGTGTTTTCATCAAAACCCGCACGCCTGAACTAACAGATGAAATGCGATAATAAATTCGTCATGGACGAAGATTACAGGCTGGAAGATCCGACGAGCAAATGATGGTTTTATGGTGGATTAACATTGAGATAATGATAATGTCATCTGCGGGTCGTTCTCTTGTCTTAACAGGGTCGATAACCTATGCGGTTTGAGGGTGTAGCGAAAACTTTGCAAAGGGGCGGAGGAGGGGGGTGTTGTCTGGAATTTATAATTGCCAATTTATACCGTAGCGGCCAGCGGGTTCGAGAAATGTGAGGTTTTAAAAGTCTTGAGAAGACTAAAAAGCGTTTCAAATTGCTACGAAAATTGCTATTTATTATAAAAATAAATGCTTATTTTTTTACATTTCACAGGGGGTCCGACTAGCAACACCCCTCTCCCCTGGCTATGTCACAGCTCGGAGTGAACCTGTTATTCGTTTTGT